AATGGGCCCAAACATGTCCGAGACAATCAGGTCGGCGCGGCGTCCTCGGGTGGGCCTTCTTGGGAATGGTCGCCATCTTGGCCTTGAAAAGATGGCACTGTTCGCAGTCGGCAATCTTGCCCGACAATTGCTGCATATCCAAATCCTCATTGCGCAGCATAGCACGCATTGCATCTGCAGGCGGATGGCCCAGGCGACGATGCATCTCCACCATGGCATCAAAAGCCATGTTGGGAACCAGCGTGTAAGTAAACGAGTACAGAGCAAGCCCATTGCGATTGCACTCTGCCTTCCAGACGGCATCGCCCTGCTTCATGACGATGGTCTTGTAATCCGGCATCTTGACGTCCGTTCCGGCTTCACCCAGCTGACGGGTAGAAACCAAGTTGCGCTTAAAACTAGGCACATACAGGGCATCGCGCAGCACCACTTGCACACGCGAACCATCCACGCCATCAACAAACATGCGCGCAGTGCCAACACCTTGGGACAATACCGTGGTCCCGCCCGATTCAATGGGCACTTTATGGATCATCATGGTCTCAAACAAACGTTCATCGTTGAGGAAGTGGCTGCTGGCACCCGAGTCCACGATAGCCATGCCTTGGTCCGCACGCAGATGAAAATTTGCCTCCTCAGGCCCCTGCAAAACAGATGTATAGGCATGTGCCTGATCATGGCTGTTCTTGCTGCTGTTGCCGCCCTTGGATCCATGCTCCTTGTGCTTGGCCGACCGCCAAGCCTCACAGTCTGCTTTCTTGTGGCCATAGCCCTTGCAGTAGTGACAATTGCCGTTGAACCGGTGCAAGTCCTTGCCCTCCGGCTCATGCTTCCTATTGGATCCACCACGACGTACACCGTGTTTTCCACGACCACGGCCATAATTGCCTTGCCCAGCGTACCTCTGTCGGCCACCGCGGCCGCGCCCTCCTTGGGCGTAGTAGGCTTCCTCGCGCTCCATGGGCACATCTGGCATGCACATCACTGCCCTCTTGAGGATGGTCCAAAAAGTCACCATCTTCTTCTTGCTGTCATCCATGGTTTCCATCTTGTCCTCCACGTAGACACGCGCTTGTGTGGGCAGGTTGCTCACCAACTTCTTGACCGTGTCCTCCTCGACAAACCTGCTGCTCATCCGCAGCGTCGACACTGTCAGGTCAATCTTGCGCCGGTAGTTGCTCAGATCATGTTGACTCTGCAGCTTCGTGGTGACCAAATCAGCTTCAGCTTGCGCAAACACGCTCTCCAGCGCCTCCAGATCGATGTCAGTTCGATCAATCCAGTCGTGTAGTATCATTCCACGACCATGGCCGCTCTTGATTTCCTTCCTAAGGCCACTCAAGACCA